TTATTTGCATATAGCAATCACGATGCCCAATGAGCACAGAATTCCAATGGATTCACAATGCATGACAGTTTAGAAGGATCCAACTCGAGCACACGGTAAGAGGTTTAGCTCTATATGCAAGCAGAGATGCTGACAGCCCCAAGAAATTAGGCTTTCCATTCAATCCAGAAATTGCTTCAAATGCAGAAAGAAAGCAATAGTGTTGTCATAGCCTTTTCTACTTATGTCACTTCCCTGTATTAGCCAACCACTCAGGCTGAAAATGATGACATAGGAAGAAAGAGCCAGGGTAAACTACAGTTCCTTTTCCTTTTTTTACTCAACAGAAAGCCAAGCATGATAGAAAGTGTGTACATAAAGTATGCATATAAAGAAGTGAAATAAAAACAGCTGACTTTGTTTTATCAGCATTTCCACTGTTTTAATAAGAATAATATGCATATATAAGCTACAAAATGTGAAATGTGTAATTTATATGATTCCATATACAAATTACGTGCTCTTGTATATCCATTTAAAAGTGGCATTGCACAGTATAAAATGAACATTAAACTGCATGCCAATAATTTAAATTTTTAATGTTCTTATATTGACATTAAATAGCAAATAAAAACACCACGTCAAGTCAAGGGAGAGAGACAGCATAAGAAAAAGAAAAAAGCTTTACCTTTTAAGAACTTTAATGACATTTCTCCCCTGCCTTTTGAACAAGGAGCCCCACAATTCCAGTCTGCACTGGGCCCCACAAATTATGTAACTGGCCCTGGTCCCATGGCTTTAAGTCATATCCATAAGCACTGATAAAACTGGTTTCCACCCAAGGCCTTTTCCCAGTGTGACTTTTCTAGACCCTGTTCTGGGCTTCAGTTGGGACCAATGGAGATTATTTTCCCCTTTGGTACAATAAACTAAAAAAAAATCTCTCCCAAACATAGCTCTATATCAGCGGTTCTCAACCTGTGGGTCGCGACCCCTTTGGGGGTTGAATGACCCTTTCACAGGGGTTGCCTAAGACCATCGGAAAACACATATATAATTACATATTGTTTTTGTGATTAATCACTGTGCTTTAATTATGTTCAATTTGTAACAATGAAATTGGGGGTCACCACAACATGAGGAACTGTATTAAAGGGTCGCAGCATTAGGAAGGTTGAGAACCACTGTGATGGGAAAAAGGAGGTAAAATGACATGGTAAGGGCTTACCCAAAGTCACAGTGTATGCCATGGACAGAGGCCTAAGCTGACTCCCATCTTGTCTTTAGATCCAATGCCGTGGCCTGTCTGCACCAATCACCACTGGTATTTCAATCTCAAACATCATTTGAAAATACCAACAAAGTCATTATGTGCTGCAGCCTTTTGATCACACCCCAGCTGAAGCCACCGCAGCCCCACAGGAACAGATGTAGAGCAAAAGGCTCTGCCCTTCAAGAAGTTCTGCACAGAACATTCCAAGGCCCCTGGGAGTCCTGTTTTGTTGAAGGTCAAGCGGAGTTGATCAACAGGCCAATACATGCTTCCTTTGCAGCCTTGGTAAAGACTGGATTCCTAAATTGCCCCAGGCAAGTGAGGAAGTCTTTTCTAACCATTGTCTCAAAGACATTAGAATTCTTAAGGAACAAGATGCTTCCCATCTCTTTCCTTGAATTTCTTAGAGAATAGAATAACCAAGTCCTGGCATCTTGTACCATTGGCCAGATCCCTACTAATCAGAAGAAACGCCAATCCAGAAGAAACTACAACTATGAGCACTTTGCAAATTGTTCTGCACACCCTTCATGTGGTCTCTTGAAGTCACCCAAATGGATTTTCTCCTAGCTGCCCCCTTATTATTGTCTTGGAGCCTTCCATGCAGAGTACAAGACTCCACTGAACCTAGTTTCCTCCAGAAGCCTCACAACAGCCTTTTGTTTAGGGCTGTGATACCCTTAGCAACACGGCCTATACCTGCAGGTACTTCTGGGTTAGTCCAAATTCCTTCTAACCCCCAAAGCTCTCCCTCTATGCCCCGCTGTGGAGAGGAGGATGGATCCTTGAGAGAACACCTTCAGACTGCTCCCGCCGGGAGCCTGCTGGGCTCCTCAGCTGCCACTGCAGCCCCGATGGAAAAGTCAGTCCCCCTTTTTGCCAGAACAAACTTGCAGTAGCTGTCTGCTTCCTTTTGGCAGGCACAAGAGGGAAAGGACATCTTACAGGCCACACTGCACTGCTCTGACTCTAAGAAGAATAACAGCGATAATCGTTCCTCCCCTTTCCATTAAATGATAACTGTAAATACACATTTAAAAAAATGTATGTCACCATTTAAAAGAATCTTCATGAACATGTTTTAATGAGATGTAAAGTGCTTCGGACATATGGTAAGTGGAAAGAAAAGCAGGATACCGGAGGTCCTTTGTTTATAAACAGTTTACATGTATGTATAGAAAAAAAATAGAGGAAGGAACTATATCACAATGGATTCCTTTAGGTGGTGGGGTTAAAGGGACTTTTCTATTTTCTTCCTTAAACTTTTTGGTATTTTCTAAAAGACAGTACATTTTGTAGGTAGGTATTACTTTTGTAAGCCAACAAGAAAGGACACGTTTCTGTTTGCCAGGATTTCTGCAATAGTAGTAACTGATGCTATGCAGTGTCCAAAGGCTTCTACCACCAGGCTTCTACTTCTCCAGGTGACTTCTGTGTGGACCCTTTCTCTCAGCTGAATTTTCTATACAGGATACCTATTTTGGCTTTGACAAGACTGCTCTTTTTATGTGAACCTTGTCAATATTTGAAAATAGCCCTGTCAGAACTGTGAATCAAGATACTGTATTTCTTTCTCCTGGTTATCAGGGCTAAGAGCTCCCAACAGAATTTTCCGAGTGTAAGGGCTCCAGAGTCTATCTGAGCCTGGACTCCAGGGAGAGAGAGTCTAGACTAGAGGATGCTGATTTTGTCCAGCAGGGTGTGATGACAAGAACATAGATTTGGAATTACGTGGCTATAGAACTGCAGAGGTTTTTTTCTCTGCAAAACGATGCTCATATTTCTTTATTGAGTTATTTTAAGGATTTAAAAAGACAATGTATGTAGAGGGCCTAGCATAGTGCACACAAATTATTAGTGGTAAGAGCTGGAGAAGGCAGCAGAGTGGACAGCTCTTCCACCTCCACCCCTACCCATAACACACTGAAGTTTTCCAAAGTGTATGTGGAATAAGGGTAGAAGGGGAGGAGCTGTCCAGATCTTAACCACGCCCTGACTGGGCTGGCCTGACCAAGGACAGACACATCTTTAGTCTCACCATGGAAATATAACCACCACTTCTGGGCTGGGCGATGGGCAGTGCTAGCCACAGGCCAGCAGCCAAAAGTATGGGGTGAGGGGCAACCCCAGAATGCCCATGGATAATACCAAATATGACTCCATTACCACTCTGAAATCACTGCATTAGGGATCCAGACTGCCTCTTCCTCCACCCACAGCCACTCTGCCCTTTAACTATTCACCAGGCAGTAAGAAGCATGCCAGAGACTTACAGGAAATACAGGGAATCATGCTGTACCTTATGAGGGATGGACATATTCCATCTTTGCTGTACTACTACATCTGCTGCTGTTTTTACTAGAACTGCTATCAGCACCACCATTTCTACAACTGCTGCTGCTATTACTATTAATTAAGTTTGTAAACTACGATTTTCAAAGTGCCTGAGTTTTGCCTGATGAAAGATAATAGTGGACATGGCATTATGGGAAGGCAGGCTGGCATTAGAAACCTCAAAAAGAACAGCCGATCTGCACTCAGGAACAGAGCAGGATTATCAATATATATTTTTTCATGCCCCAACTGCCTGGACTCCAGCAACATCCCCAGCCACACCTAGTCCCTCTCCCCGCCCTACTCAGCTCCAATGTCTGTAGCTAATTTAGGCAATTTCAAGGGTTAATGGACTTTTGTTTGGTCAGAGGAGCTGGGCCATGCCAAAATCCCACCAAACTGGTGAGGGAGAAGAGGAGAGAATGCGTCTAACATGTAAGGCCACTGCCTCTGTCAGCATCTCCCACCTTCTAAGAGGATGGCCCTGGAAAGACCCAGTCTCTTCCCTAATTTTTAGAGACTTTAAATTTTCCTGTGCCAAAGCTACATGGTCAGATAATGTTTGACTTGGCCCGCAATCCCCGAAGTGAACTGGGGAATGCATACCTCACCTTCTCATCCCAGTAGAAGGGCTTCCTTTCTCCGCACACCTAGCAGCCAGCTGGTGTGGGGACCAACACTACATGGAGTGAGGAGGCGGGAGGAAGGGAGGAGAGCGAGAATGTAGCCCAGCCCAGCCCAACCTGGAACTAGGCTCCCTTAGAGACCACCCTCTTCACCTGGCAACCGGGCCCCAGCAGGGCTCCCAGAGAAGAAAGTGGCATCTTGGAATCCATTTTGCTCAAGACGTTGAAGGCATCTTGGCAAACTTCCCTTTGCTGCTACTGCCTTTGCTACTGGGGCCAAGTGAACTTGGGGAAGGGCCTCAGCCATAGGGATGCGGTTATTTGGGGAGGAGGTGAGTGAGGGCCAACTCTGGCGCCAATGGTACCTGCGAGAGAGAGCGGGGTCGCTGGGCGTATCGTGGGCGCGGGTGGCCCACCCTGGCGCTGCTGCCCGAATCAGACCCACGTCTGCTGGGGAGTGATAGTAGCAGCAGCCGCTGCCAGGCCAGCTGGGATCCCTTCTGTCTCTGTCCAGTTATTTATAGGCGCGATTTACGATGGGTGCGGGGGAAGGGACGCGGGATGACAATGAGTTTTGGAAGGTATAATGCTAAAAGTCACACTTTTCCCAAAGCGCCCCCCTCCCAGGTTCTTCCTCCCAGAGCAGCACGGTCCCAGCGGGGGAGTGTGCATCGCGGGGCGCCGCAGTGGTCCGCTGCACCCCAGGCCCGGGCCGCGGAATGGGGGCCCGCGGCGGGCGGGAGGCCGGGAGGAGGGGCTGCGTGCGCGGCGCGGGCGGCGCGGCTCACCTGCCAGGCTGTTGTAGCAGTCGATCTCGATGGCTTCCACCGTCCTGCTCTGCTCCTCCGAGAGGCGGCCGGGGTTGGGGGCCCCGGCCGGAGAGGCCGCGCGCGAGTCCCGCTCCCGCTCCCCGGGGACGGGCAGCAGCCCCTTCAGCTCCAGCAGCGCCCGGTGGTACTTGCCGATGGCTTCGCGGAATTTCTTGTCCTTGTAGCACTGCGAGCCTTGGCTCTTGAACTCGTACGCGCGCCGGATGGACTCGGCGGGCTCGGCCGCCGCCCCAGCCTGGCCCCGCGCCGGAGCCCCTCCGCCGCCGCCCGGGACGCACAGCGGCGGCGGCGGCCGCTGCACCTCGCCGGCCCCCGGCGGGCTCGGGTTCCCTTTGGTCCCGGCCGCCGAGCCCTTCCTCTCCATTCGGACGCCGCCCGGCACCGCGAGCGCGCCGCGATCAGCCCGCCGCCGCCGCGCCCTCCCGGGTTTAAAAGCGGCGGGCGAGCTTGGCCGCGGCCTTGACACCCCGCGGCGGTCTGTCGTCCCGCACTCCCATTCTCCTCGCCAGCTGCGGGAAGCTGCGCTCTTCTCCTCCTCCTCCTCCTCCCACTCCTCCTCCTCCTCCTCGGATTGCCTTCCCCTCCCACCCTCCCTCTCCTCCCTCCCTCCCTCCCCCACTCGCGCGCCGCCCGCCCGGCTGCTGGCCCTCCTCCCCTCCCGCAACCTGCGGGGGGTGAGGACCTGGCCCTCGCGCCCTCTGGGGCTAGCGTTATGGGGGGCTGCGGGCCTGATTGGGGTGGCGGGGATCGTCGCTGACCCGGAAGAAGCTTGGCTCGCCCGAAAGAGGGGAGGATTAATGACAAAGACGGCCCCGCTCTTTCCCATTCAATCCAGTCCTCTGAGACGCGCCGGGTCTGAAAGGGACGAAAGGGGGAAGGAGTGTGTGTGTGCGTGCGTGTGCGTGTGTGTGTGCGTGTGCGTGTGTGTGTAGGTGTGCAGGGAGGGGGGACGCCAGCGACGAAACGCGTGCAGACTCACCCTCAATAGATTTCTTAGAAACTAAAAACAGAGGTGCGGCGAGGAGTAAGGGGCATAGGCACAAGCCATAGCTGTTCTTTTCGGTAAGGCAGTCCCATTTTAAGGTGGCAGCGCCTTTTTTGTGCGGAGCCGGGTGCAGCCGAGGTGTGTCTCCGCGCGCGGCCGCCGGAGCGCCCAGGGCACAGCGCACGCAGCGTGCGGGGCGTTGTGCTCCAGGAGCCGCCGTGCGCCCACACCGGGGTCTGCGGGCAGCTGTGCCGCCTGAGTCACGGACACCGAGATGGAAAGCACCTGTTACTGTCGGTCAGCAGGCTTGGCGCGCAGCCGGTCTCGCTTCCATTTCCCGGACAGTTCCGCGCCCCTCCGCAGGAGGCCATTTCTTCCTTCATTCATTCTCAGGTCAGCCCCGCATGTCGGCCGACTGCAGGGATTTGTTGAGACCCAGCGGCAGACGAAGATAGGCCAGTGTCTGCCCTGCTCTCAAGTTAACTCCCAGTCTCCTGGGGAGGGGGACCCCGCCCACCCTGAGAGTCACTCCCCCAGATAAAGGTGGGTAAATATTACCAGGGAAGGGCAGAAGGTGCCGTGCCGCGCGGAGGAGGGGAGAGAGGTGGCCCTTTAAGCAGTGGTGGATCTGCAGACTTTATGGAGGAATGGCATTGGAGGGCTTTGAGGGGTGGGGAGTAGAACTTGGGCATGAGGAAACAGAAGGAAGTGACATGTCAGCCAGAGTGAGAAAACAGAGCAGAAATCATGATGCTTGAAATCTCGAGTGTGTTTAGGGCAGTGGTGGCCTACACAGAATTAGTGAGAAAAGATTGGGTTAAATTATGGAGGCATTTGGATGAAGAGCGTGGATTTTATTTTGTAAGCAATGGAGAAGCCTGACTTCATTTTTTTTTTTTTTTTTTTTAATAATACCCCACTTCTTTATGGTGAATATATATATATATATATATGTATATATATATATATATATATATATATAGCAGTGGTTTTCAAAGCATGGTTTCCACACCTGCAGCATCAGCGTCACCTGGAAATCTGTAAGAAATGTACATTCTAGGGTCGTGCTCCAGCTCTATTAAAATCTGAAACTCTAGGGCGGGGTCCAGCACCTGTCCTTTCACAACCGTCTGGTTGGTTCAGACGCACACACAAGTTTGAGAACCCCTGCTCCAAAACCTTACTACTCAGAGTGTAGGGCTTGGGCAAGTAGAATCAGCACCACCCAGGGGCCTGTTAGCAATGCAGAATCTCTAAAAACCCAGACCTACTGACCCAGAATCTGCATTTTAACAAGATCACCAGGTGATGCCTATGCCTATTTGAGTGTGAGAAGCAACGCTCTAAAGGATTTGCCAAGTAGAGAAGCAGATAAAACCCCCAACCTTACACTGTCACTCAGATATATTCGTTGTTAATATTTTGATGTAATCCCTACGGGTTGCTTTCTATACATCTGTATTTGTACCAAGTCCCCTTTTAACAAACATGAATGGTATGAGACAATATATACAATGCTCTGCTCTTTATTACTTTACATTATATGTGATCAGTCTTTTAAAGCCTCATTCTAATGCCTTTATAATATTCATTTTATGTCTGAATCAGTGGACTTAACCATTTCCCAATTATTTGCTATCATATTGAATACTGTGATGATAAAAACAATAGATTTCCACATAGTGCTTACTTTGTGCCAGGCACTAGGTTAAGCACTTTACATATAGTAATCCATGTAATTCTCAGAACAACCCAGTGAAATAGGCACTATTATTATCCCCATTTTTAAAAATATATATATTTTCGTTGATTTCAGAGAGAGGAAGGGAGTGGGAGATAGAAGCATCAATGTTGAGAGAGAATCATTGATCAACTGCCTCTCGCACGCCCCCTAGTGGGGGATCAAGCCTGAAACCCAGGTATGTGCCCTGACTGGGAATAAATAGAATTAGTAGTGACTTCTTGGTACATGGGTCCGCCCTCAACCACCTAGCCACACCATTTTCAATGGCAGCTCACAGAAACTTGCCCAAGGTCACACTGCTAATAAGTAGTGGAGCTGGGATTTAAATTGAAGCAACCTGCTTTCAGAATCTATACCCTTAATTATATTCATACTTAAGTTTTTGTCGTATTTTATTTTTCCTTACAAGAAATTCTGATGTCAATTTCTAAAAAAAGTCTTGTGATTGTGGAGAACCAAGATGGCGGCATAGGTTAACGCCGGAGTTTGCTGCTTTGAACAACTACTTCAAAAGTGAAACCAAAAAACGGAAGGGACATCACCCAGAACCACAGGAACGCTGGCTGAGTGGAAGTCCTACAACTAGGAGGAAAGAGAAACGCATACGGACACTCAGAGGAGGCGCAGTGCTGAAGTCAGATTCTGAGGTGCGGAGTGCGCGGAGCGGGCTGGCGGCGGAGGGCGCGGTTGGCGTTTTCAATCGGGAGGGAGTCGCAGACTCTGAGCTCCAGATACGGGCGAGTCTTTAGGGACCCAGACTCAAACGGGAGAAGCGGGACTGTCTGGCTTCTGTCAGAGCGAGTGCAGCTTTCTCTCTGAGCTTTGCAGCGGGTGCTGGGACTCAGAGAGGCAGAGCCCCTGGGGACAGGACTGAGAGCCGCCATAACTGCTCTCTCCGGCCCACCCTGTTGATCCTGTGCGACCCGCCCCGCCCAAGCCCTGCACACAGGCATTTGCCGGATAGCCTCAGGCAAACGCCAGATTAGCACCTCCCTAGAGGACAGAAGTTCTCTCACTGCTGACACAGCTGATTCTCATAGCCACTTGGCCTGGAGGTCAAACCCTCCCTGGAATTAGCTACAGCAATCAAGATTTAACTATAAGACTGCGAACAAAGACCACTAGGGGGTGCACCAAGGAAGCATAACAAAATGCGGAGACAAAGAAACAGGACAAAATTGTCAATGGAAGATATAGAGTTCAGAACCACACTTTTAAGGTCTCTCAAGAACTGTTTAGAAGCCGCCGATAAACTTAATGAGATCTACAAGAAAACTAATAAGACCCTCGATCTTATATTGGGGAACCAAGTAGAAATTAAGCATACACGGACTGAAATAACGAATATTATACAGACTCCCGACAGCAGACCAGAGGAGCACAAGAATCAAGTCAATGATTTGAAATGCGAGGAAGCAAAAAACACCCAACCGGAAAAGCAAAATGAAAAAAGAATCCAAAAATGCGAGGATAGTGTAAGGAGCCTCTGGGACAGCTTCAAGCGTACCAACATCAGAATTATAGGGGTGCCAGAAGATGAGAGAGAGCAAGATATTGAAAACCTATTTGAAGAAATAATGACAGAAAACTTCCCCCACCTGGTGAAAGAAATGGACTTACAGGTCCAAGAAGCGCGGAGAACCCCAAACAAAAGGAATCCAAAGAGGACCACACCAAGACACATCATAATTAAAATGCCAAGAGCAAAAGATAAAGAGAGAATCTTAAAAACAGCAAGAGAAAGAAACTCAGTTACCTACAAGGGAATACCCATACGACTGTCAGCTGATTTCTCAACAGAAACTTTGCAGGCCAGAAGGGAGTGGCAAGAAATAGTCAAAGTGATGAATACCAAGAACCTACAACCAAGATTACTTTATCCAGCAAAGCTATCATTCAGAATTGAAGGTCAGATAAAGAGCTTCACAGATAAGGAAAAGCTAAAGGAGTTCATCACCACCAAACCAGGATTATATGAAATGCTGAAAGGTATCCTTTAAGAAGAGGAAGAGGAAGAAAAAGATAAAGATACAAATTATGAACAACAAATATGCATCTATCAACAAGTGAATCTAAGAATCAAGTGAATAAATAATCTGATGAACAGAATGAACTGTTGATTATAATAGAATCAGGGACATAGAAAGGGAATGGACTGACTATTCCTGGGGGGGAAAGGGGTGTGGGAGATGCGGGAAGAGACTGGACAAAAATCGTGCACCTATGGATGAGGACAGTGGGTGGGGAGTGAGGGCGGAGGGTGGGGCGGGAACTGGGAGGAGGGGAGTTATGGGGGGGGGGAAAAGAGGAACAAATGTAATAATCTGAACAATAAAGATTTAATTAAAAAAAAAAAAAAGAAAAAAAAAATAAAAAAAAATAAAAAAATAAAAAATAAAAAAGTCTTGAAACATATTGTCAGTTTCCCTTTCAGAAAGGTTGTAGTAATTTGTGCTTCCACCAGCAATGTACTAGTTTCACAACATCCTTGCCAACATTGAGAGTTACACTTAAAAAATTTTTTTTTCTAACCTAATAAATGAGAACTCTATATTGAATGAACTGGGATCTCTTTAATTATAAGATTGGACATTTTCCATACATGTAATTGCCATTTATAGAGTACTTAGGGCCTTTTGACACAATCTTATTGTACTAAATGATCTTATATGTTACAGGACAGTTCTTCAACATCTTCAATCTCATTTAATCCTCACCTTAGCCTCAGAGGAGGAAATGATTCTCTACTCACACAGAGGTTTCTGACCAGTGAGGTATCATAGTTCAGTGGTTAAGAGGTTTTGGTCTCAGATAGGTG